CACAATGCTCAATGGTGGCACGTGCTTCGTCAAGATCGACCTGGCAGACGTCTACCTACAGATCGTAATTGCTTCTGAGTCGCAACCGCTTCTGAGCATCGTCACACATCGCGGTCTTCTCCAGTACACCAGACTTCCTGTTGGTGTCAAGACCGCCCAGCCATTTTCCAACAGATGATGGACGCCATTATCTTGATAGTCCGGGTGCGGTCGCGTACCTGGATGATGTCCTCATTATTGGTCGCACCTCAGAAGAACTGTGAGAACGTCTGGTCGCTGGCTTTAAAAGGATCCAGGAGTAACGCTTCCGCCTGAGGACTGATAAATGTCTAATTTTCCTTCGGTGGAGCAAGTATCGTGACTTGGTCTTCGATGCTAATGACCGTCATCCTGACGTGGAAAAATTCCGAGCCATTTAACAGATGCCGTCCCCCAAACATATGTCACAAATGCGGTCCTTCCTTGGCCACATCAGCTACTACGGCGTTTTCTTACCATCGATGCATGATGTACGGGCGCCGCTCGATCGACTGTTGCAAAAAGGTGTTCGCTTGCACTGGTCCCCCACATGCAAGAAGGCCTTCGTTCCTCTGAAATCCACGCTGAGTTCAGAAGTACTGCTGACCTATTACGATGCAAACTTGCCGATTTCGGTCGCTGCTGACGCCTCTGCTTACGGGCTCGGAACATTATTTTCTTATCGCTTCCCAAATGGTTGCGAAAATGCGGTTATGTACTTCTCATGTACCCTGATGCCGGCGGAGAAGTATGGTCAGATTAAGGATGCCATAGTCATGGTGTTTGCCTGTAGCAAGTCCCACAAAATTCCGTATGGCAGATGGTTCAAGCTTTTGACTGAGCACAAACCAATACTTTCAACCTTCGGTTCACGATGGACACACCCGCATACTCGGCTAGCCGACTTCAGCGTTGGGATATCATCCTTCTTGGTTACGACTTTCAAATCAGCTACTGCCGCACGCAAGATTGCGGTCAGGTCGACGAACTTTCTTGCCTCCTTTCCAAACATGCTACAGAAGAAGACACGATGATCACCGCTGTTACCCTGGAGAACGATGTTTATCATCCATTCTCGAATGTTATCCATAGTCTTCCCATTACTGCCGCCGAAATACTTCGCGCAACTGCTCAAGACCCTGTCCTGCAGAAAGCCGTCATCTACGTTCAAACGCTCTGACCAAACACTACCTCTTCTGGCGAACTGTTGCAACCGTCTCAACGCCACAACTCCTTTTCCGTAGTCGATTGCTGCCTCATGACTGCAGCTCGAGTTTTCAATACTTCATACCTCCGGCAAGCTGTACTCCGCCAGCTACGTCCTGCTCATCCCGGTATGAATAGAATGAAGGCAATCGCCTGCATTTATGTTTACTGGCCTTTTGTTAACAAGGACATTGGAGTTATGGTTCGCTGTTACTCAAGATGTCAACAAACATCGAAGATGTCACCACACCAACCACCAATTCCTTGAGATCCGAAAGAATGACCGTGGTCTAGCTTGTACCTCCACTATGCTGGTCCGATCGATGACATCTCCTACCTAATCGTGATCGACGCTTACGCCAAGCTTGGTGAAGTGGTCGCCGGCAACCCACCAACCGCATCCACCACACTGGGTTGTCTACAACCAATTATTAGTCAACATGGACTCCCGGAGTTCTTGGTGCCCAACAATGGTGCACAGTTTAGGTTTATCGTGTTCGAAGACTTTTGTTGCCGGCATTGCATCCAACACTTACGCACGCCGCTCTAACATCCGCGGTCCAGTGGTCAAGCGGAGATGTTTGTCGCCACCTTTAAGGGGCACCCTTGAAATTTCGTGAAGACTGAACCGTGAATGTATGCGTTCAAACGCTCCTGCTCTATTATCCGTCCACACCAAATCCTGCCGCTCCGGGATGCCAGTTAACAGCTGAAGCAAGAGTCGGTCGAAAGCTACGCACTACTAACGAGGCGCTCATCCCAACCGAAAATCCGCCAAGTCCATCTACTACCTGCACAAGGCACAATGACTTCGTCTTTGGAGCCCTGGTATACGCTCGCGACTAACGAGCAGGTCATCCACACAGGATCAAAATAACAGTGACAGCCAATGTTGGTAGCATGCCACATTATGTCGTTGTGGGAGACGACACATGTGTTCGTCACCAAAACTAACCTCGACCCTGACGCGGAACGCTCATGAACAATCCAAGTCGGTTACACAAATACCGCTGCACGTACTATTAGTTGTTTTCGGAATCGCTGCGTAACAACCGACGCCTATGGAAGTCGAACAGCCGACGACAAACCCTACTGGCCCTCACTGCAGGTCGGAATGCATACGTCGAATGATCTAAAGACTGCAGATGGACCGCAACTAAAACGGTATGTTCAAACTAGAAGGGGATATTATGGGGACTCAAGCTCCCCCCAATAATTACAAGCTTAAACCACAGAAAATAATAAAACGATTCAGAGAAGTGCACATGTTGTGGTTGTGCAGTGTTTTCGGGTGGGCAACACCCAATTTCCACCTACTTTGAATACGGTCCCAGTGATCGCGGTGACTAAGGTTCATTTCAATGTGAATCACAGTCCATTATATTGAGATTGCGTGTCGCAATCTAATCACACAACGTGTAGTCCAAACTTGACCCTCCAATTAGTCATTTACCGTTGTGACAAAATGGGTTGCCCACCGTGACCTGGTAGCCAAAGGGGTAGTGGTGTGGGCTACTATTCCAATGGTCGCGCGATCGAGGCCTGCTGTCTCCACCTGATGAGATGAAATTACATTGAAACGCGTCGTGGTTGTGCAGTGTTTTCTGGTGGGCAACACCCAATTTCCATCTACTTTGAATACGGTCCCAGTGATCGCGGTGACTAAGGTTCATTTCAATGTGAATCACAGTCCATTATATTGAGATTGCGTGTCGCAATCCAATCACACAACGTGTAGTCCAAACTTGACCCTCCAATTAGTCATTTACCGTTGTGCCAAATGCGTTGCCCACCGTGACCCGGTAGCCAAAGTGGTAGTGGTTTAGGCTACTATTCCAATGGTCGCGGGATCGAGGCCTGCTGTCTCCACCTGATGAGATGAAATTACATCGAAACGCGTCGTGGTTGTGCAGTGTTTTCTGGTGGACAACACCCAATTTCCATCTGATCTGTCTTTTTGTCTTGTTTTCTCGGGTTTGAGTAGCTGTGTTTGAAAATGTTCGGTCTAGAAGCCCGTTCAACTCGCGCGTAGTAACCGTATTGCACCCAAGTCTCACGTGTTGTACAACTACGAATTTTGTTGGTTAATTTGTCGTGCGTGAAATAGCTATACGCCACATTTGTTCGGCCGACCAGGAGATTTGATAACAGATCGTCAGAGCATGGCATAATCGAAAGATGCTTGTAATAACGTGTTAGTTCTATGTGTTCCTGCAGAGGTTCAATATAACACAGACGGTTATAAAGTACATTGACACGATCGCTTAGCCTCAGTTGGGTGCTTATAAATGGCTTATCGTCCATAATTTCTTCGTTTGTAAGTAGGAGGTCAAGTACCCATGATTTCTTATCAGCGCACTGTCGCGTCAGCAGCGTAGGAAATGTTCTGTCGGCTTTTTCTATTGACTATTTTTTGATCCGCTGAGCTCCTGTTGAAGGTCTACTAGTGACGCACTGCAGTCCACATTTAAATAGTAAATATACTTTGCAAAGTTGTCCGGACCCCGCGAACTACACATACACCCTTTTCTGGATGACTGCGTTCCTTCCATGTGCTTTCCTCTTCTCCTAACTACTGTCGTGTCCCCATCTGACAACTATGTCGAAGGCATCGCTCACAAGCGTCTTCTAGTGGAAGACCCCTGTAGTGAACGGAAACTGCTTTATACTTAGATTGCGACAGCGGATATTAGTGCTTAATATCTTCTGATCGTCCACTGCTATACTGATGGTACATCTCGTTCGCTTCTCGCTCTCAGTTAGCCGCATCGCCGTGCTGCCATCTGCTGTTGCTTACCTACATTCCATTCCTCCTTACCCTTGTCAATACAAGTTGACTCTAGCCGCTCTTACTGTTCTCCCTATTCTCGCAATTAACACGCTTCGTACGTCTCATCGTTTGCCATTAGGATCTTCATACCTCTCCACAGTCGTTGTTAAACCTCAGGGTGGATCCATGGAATCTACTTGTGGATCTAGATGGAAACGCAATAACATCTTTAATGTCAAAAAGTTCCGGATATGCACTTGTATCAGGTTCTCCCTTGCGACTCATCTGAAAGCATGCCCACGTTGATTAGGTAAATACAACCCGTATTGTTGTGGTCCCTTAAGCATTGTTTCACAAAGAATAGCTGGGTTTTAGATGTTTTTCATGGCAGTCTTCTGTAAGTCAGACAGGGTCCCACAAATCTGGACATCACTAGGCGGCATTTCCGACCTACGGGGTCTCGCCGGTGGAGGGTGTTCTTCAGACCATTGCGGGGTCCAGACCACATAAACTTCGGTTGCCTCAACCACTAAGTCATGGGCGACACCCGCAGACCTGCATGACTGACAGATGGTTAGGAGATAGTGTGGCTTATCATAATGTATTCAAAGGAACAGGCACAACGCATGCGTGTCGATGACAGCTGCCTCAGCAGTAACTACCAAACAGATAATAAAGCAGAAACAAAAGAAGAGAATTGAAACTAGCTGATGCTTAATGGCAATATTTATGTTTCCCCTCACTTTCTTACCCTTTGCTAAGGTTGCCACATGCCATTGACTTACGAGTGTAAGTAACCCCTAGAACATAAATGGGAACAACTTAACCCTAAATGAAAGAAAAGAATATCGTTGTGACCAATATGTCACAAAATGATTGACTTTATTTAGTTGACAACAAATGTGTCGAAACTTGGGGTCAAAACAATGGAAAATTGAGAAGCGATCAAGCTTCTTCGAATCTTTTATGACTCCGGAGAATGGCATTGGTCCAGCGCGCATTAAGCAAAATCCTTGCGTGTTTCGGCATTGACCCGAATACCTATATTCCCAAGTGAACCCAACGAAACCCTCTCTTCATAGTCCAAGCCTATTGACTGGAGGTCAAATGCGACCAAGTTGGAGTCCATAATCTCATCTTGACTGTCATGCTGCATTGAATTTTCCCCCACTTGCTCATCCACAAAGGATTCACCACTCTTATCTAACTGTTCATCGGATCCTCTCACAAACAGGTCATCGATGCTTAGTGCCATCATACCTGTTCGACTGCGTCGTAACAGTGGGATGAGTTTGAGCGTAAATATTCGGCCATAAATGACCTCATCTAAACTGCGCTTGTGCAACTGAACAAGTGCACCCATATTGCGGCATTGTCTTGCCGTCTGAGGCATGCTGAACAGTGTCAGCAATTTCGATGAAGCTGCAAATTCATAACCACGTTTGATCAGATCATGTGATCGAATGACCTGCTGCAAACCGAACCGCTCACAAAACTTCACGACAGCTTCTTCAGGAAACAGGTATCCCTGACCAGCCGGATTAAGTTGCCAAAACCTGCTGTCTATTTGTGGTTCGGACCAAGTGAGCTCAGTCCATATCTTGTTGTTCGTGAGTTGAGTAGGACGTGGTATCCAAACCTTGAAAAACTCTTTCAAATGAGACACTGATGAAACAAATGAATAAGGGATGTCATGAATTATCCCACTGTGGGTACAGAACACAGAGTTTTCCACAATGGCGACCGCTGGCAAACAATCGAATGTATTCATAAAAGCAATCCAAGTTTTTAAAAATTGGCGCTGCCTGCATTCAAAGGAAAATCCATAGTGTAACGACACATACATGCACTCGTGATTCCCTCGCAACATGAAGATTCTATCCGGATAGAGTACCTTGTAGGCAAACAGTAGACTGACCAGTTCGATAGCCCTGTCCCCTCTATCGACATAATTGCCAAGAAATAAGTACCGCTTTTGCGGAGGCGGTCCCAATTTTGCGAAAATTTGCACTAAATTTGAATGTTGACCAAAAAGATCTCCAACAATGTATAATGGCTCATGCAAGTCCAAGTCCAGACATGCAGGTTCTTTCATGAAGAGCGTTGCGCATTCATTAGCCAGCCTTAGCACTTCCGCCTCTTCAATTTGCGCTAACCGACCTCGAACGACAGGTCCCTCTGTCAATCTGGTTATCAGTGACTTCAACAATTTCTGGTAAGTTGCTGAAATTTTGTTAGTTGGTCTGTCGGACCGGTTTGATGGGGAAACCGAGGCACTCATGTTAACCTACTATTCCACGGATTGACTAGATGCAGGCAGAGCATGCAACCTAATCTTTTTACGTGCATGCGTGTGATCATGCGGTTCAGGCAGGTAATCAATCTCGATCGCTTAAAAGGATCAGATGCACGTCACGTGACTTCTGGATTGACTAAACTTGAATGTAGGAACAACATGCTAAAATGCTATCTAGGTAAAGCTATCCTTTCCTGGTCTACTCATTAGGTCTAGATAAAGATTTGCAGATTAATATGCGGGGAACTATTATAGTGCTAAGTAGACAGTGCTATGTTTAATTAGACACTAATATGCGTTCTCCGTTCGGTCGTGATTGTAAGCTGCACGTGATTCGTGTGTCAGAGGTCCCATACCGTTTAGACCAAGACAATCGTAACGTCAAAGCGGATCAGTTTTGAGTGCCAAACTCCAGTTAGCACTGACCGATTGCTGTAGCGTCAGTAGTTTCTGGTGTCCACTAGTGGATGCACCTTGGCAGACCGGCCTGAAGAAAAATCCGATTTAGTGGGGCTCCACGTACAATTGCGATGTTCGGCTATGGTTGGTTAACTTTTGACACACAGTAGTGAGTCAGGCCAGACAATGATTATTCACCAAGTCGGACAGGAGTTTTGTTTCAGAGCAAATGTATCTGCTTCCATAGTGTAAGCCGAACGACTGAATACGCACTGATTTTATGTGAACAGGGCTATTGTCTTTTAGGCTAATGTGCTGCATTTTGCCTTCTGTGAAAATGAACCCGAGTGCGTGAGGAAGGTGACCAATTAAGACTGTATTCGCAAGTCAGCTGGTCCGCGGCAACTGTGGAAGGATTATCCATAGCTCATTCTACCGTGTGGTGTAGCAACTTTGCCTGGAGAATTTTCTATACCCAATGACATGACAATATGCTCATCATTCACATACAATTCCGCGACTTCGGACCTTTGCGTGAGCAGATCAGTGAAATTGATTCATTATCCGGATAAAGTTTTGGCTTCGCGTCCACTATCACCCAGCAAATAGCAAATATTACGCCTGCGCCGTTCGCTGACCAACAGATTGTACTCTTCAGGGTCGGGAATTGTGTTCATATTGATCAACCTGCACTCATTACTGAGCCATTTTACGTGTCACTCACTGGGAAACGCACATGGATTTCGCGCTCACGTTCACACCCTGAGCCTGATGTACATTGTTTGGTCAGGTGCCGAAGCAAGTAAGAACACATTGCCACAAATATAAACATGAGATGGATAAAAGGCAACAAGTCTTTTCCAGTTGCATTTCAATTTGCATTCTCCATCGTAATGCGATAAAATCATTCGAGGTTTCTACTTGTCTAACACCCGAAATAGTGCATTTACAAAGCTGGTAATTTTCAGTACATATGATGTATCCGAAGGACTGTAGATTGTTTGCACAAATGTTTTAAGGTGAGCACGAAGCGATTACCTCCCAACGAAGCTGTAGATTTGTACTTGAACTTACATTCGGCTCCATCATCAGCTACTTAACTTCGGTCAGTTGGGATGGTACATGGGCATCTGTAGTGCGAGACCCACCTGCCTGATAGGGCTCGGATAACAGTCTCGGCTGTGTAGTCTGTTATGGGAATGGCTTCTGGCCATATGGTAAAGCGGTAAACAATCTAAGCATGTAACGAATCCACGTAAAGGAGGCAATGGAACTATTAGGTCTAAGTGCACATGTGACCATCGAGAGTCTGGTGCAAGAATTGAGACAAGAGGACTGCTGGTGTGACAATGTAATTTGGAGCGCTGGCATTAAAGGCACGGGCTAGCCCAGATACGAACATCTTTGCTCACCCATGTCCAAACGAAACGTTCGGTGAACAGTTTAAAACATGCACGGATACCGGCATGTGATAGTGAGTGCAGTGGGTCAAAACTGTGCGTCTGAGGGATACGGGCACGAGGGGTCTGGGACAAGCTGTGGAAGTGTCACAGAGAATGATCCCTTCTGTGGTTTGGAGAAGAATAGGTCGCATATGCAGCAAAGTGGGCTGCAGAGTGCGTTGTATGTCTTCATCTAGAGCCTGAGCTGATGCCCTGGCGGCAAGGTCGACAGTAGGAAAAGACTGTAGAGTGAGGTTGACGCTTGAGAAGGCGTCGGCGACTAAATTGTCGACACCTGAGACGTATGTCAGCAGTGAACTACATGACAAAGTCTAGGTGTCTTTTCTCCTGTGGTGAATATTGGTCGCAAGCTGATTTGAAGGCGAAGATGCGTGTAGACCGTGTAAGCGCGGCCTTCGGGTGTGTGCTGGAAGTGACGGATGGCTAGATAAATGACGAGCAATTATCTGACAAACGTGCTGTAGCTGGATTCGGTTGGCTGCAGGCGCTTGGAGAAGAAATCAAAGGGTTGCATTTGCCCACCAAGGTGTTATTGGAGGACGGCTCCTACCGCGACGTCTGAGTCATCAGTCGTAATAGAAAGATGGGCAGTCGAGGTAGCATCCTTGAGCTCGGCGAAGGCTGTCTGTGCTGTGTCAGGGAAAGCAAAGTTACTTTCATTCCCTCTGAGTAGGTTAGTCATAGACTGCATGAGCTGAGCGCAGTGAAGAATGAAGCGCCTACGGTAGTGGACCAAATTACAAAATCGATGGAGTTGCTTGAACGAAGTCGGAGCTGGGAAGTCCTTGATTGCTTGGATCTTCTCAGGAAGGAGTTCGATACCAGACGACGAAACGAGGTGGCCTAGGAATTCTGCCGTTGATTTGCCGAGTTCGCACTTAGTCGGGTTGACTGTGACACCGTGTTGGGTCAAGCGCTGGAAGAGAGTTCGAAGATGCTCGAGGTGCTTTTGTGCAGATGAACCGACAACTAAAATATCATCGAGATAGGAATAAGCGAAGTCTAGGCCACGGTTGACATGGTGCATGTAGTGTTGGAAGGTTTGTGCTGGGTTACACAGTCTAAATAAAATTCGTATAAATTAAAATAAGCCGAAAGGAGTAGTGATGGCTGTTTTAGGAATGTCATTTTCTTCTACAGGTATCTGGTGATAGGCGCGAACCAGATCGATCTTGCTGATGATCGTCTTACTTGTGAGGCATGCGGTAAAGTCCTGATGCGTCTTAGAGACGTATCAATTGTACTTGGTCCTTTGTCGTCAATGCTAGCAATCAGACCGCTAGGCACTGTGGTGGCCAGGTCCAAATCGACAACCGGAGTGTTAGTTCTCTGTAACTGCCTTATGAAACTGTCCCCTGGATGCGATCTCAGGTTCATAGCGACGGTGGTGCTTAGTTTAAAAGATTAGAGGTTTTAGAATGTTCGCTGCACACAGCGTCATTGATGGAGTCGGGAGGACTTAATATATTGATGGACCGGTTAGAGTTAACATGGTAGATAGGTAACCACAAAGTAGGGGTGTCAGTGTGGGAGTTGGGAAAGAAACTAGCAACTATTGTAGGTGCGACCACACTTGTGGGTAGTGAGTCGCGTCGCAGAAAATAAGGTCAGGATCTCAATGCAGGAGTAATCTACATAAAGACATTCTGTCAACGATTACACAGGGTCAAAAAAGTAGTGTTGGCAACAAATTGCTCACGTCTGCTTATAAATTCACTGACAGCTAAGGCAGTACGAAACGTGAATAGGATTGAACATAAGTGGCGCTGGACGTTTCTTTTGAGTCTTATGCTACTGCACCCCGTGATAACCGCGTTACCAGCTCTAAGTAGGATATTCCGAAAGGCTGCAAGTGGAACATTATTCTGGACATTAAAAACAACTGCACTTTTAGGGCGATACATCCTGCCGACTAATTCTAAAACGATCGAATCGATAAGCAATTCCTCGGGTAACATACGTTCTCCTTTAGGACTCATCGTCTTTTGCATAAAGGCTGTGCACGGAGAGCAGACAGGGAGCTATGGATCGGTAACAATGACTTTAAGCTGGGTACGTCCGTCTTGGATGTTTTGTATGTACATAAACTGAACCGGCAGGGCTTATGGTGATAGTTTTGCTTCACTTGAATTATTAGGTCTTGCAGTTATGGAAGCTGTTGGAGCTTTGCGTGCTTTACCAGTCACTGTACACTTTGGTAATGTACGCTTAATGGCAGGTGAATCAACAGAACATAAGGCTCTAGTTTCCACATTGCTTAAAGACTGATTATAGGCAGGGAGGTTTGCGAGTTTTTCTGTGTATTCCTCCCCTTGCCTGTACTAGGGGTGGAGCTTTACCTTTTGACGGTGCTAACGAGCATTTTGTGATACACACACTAGGGTTCAGAGCTTGTAAAACTTTGTTAAGGTAAACCGGTACTAGACAGTGGACTAAAATTACTAAGGTGTCAGATGCAAAGATCGATATAAACCAACCAGGGGAATTTCCCCGCTTTCTGATAGCCGGTTATCTCAAAGCGTACTAGTGTCCTTTATTAGTCAGTCATCCTGTGCACACATTGGCTCTGAGGCCAACTATGTGCCGTGCCGCGACGCACCAATCCGTTTGTTCCAATGGGCGCACTCGTACAATTCAGTCGGACCAAAGGGTGTGGCAACCGACAGGTTGGACAGCAGCGATTGGAAGTTAGACTTGAGTGATAGGCCAAGGGTTCGTTAGTTTGTCCAGCGAAATCAGGGAGGTAAGAGGTAAGTGCTGGTTGCGCCTTTATAGAGCTACCGATCTGGTTGGATTCGGTTTCGATAGATGGGTCTCGTAATGTACTTTCCAAAGATTCTACGAAGCGTGTCAGGGTTAGTAAAGACATTGACTTTGACCAATTCCGTTTATGCCGAAATGCCACAGAAATTGGAACGCAGCAGTACAGTATGATCCGTTAGGAATACAGTCCTGGAAGTTTGCACACTGTGTAGGCCTGATCGAATGGGTGTACTCGGGTGAATATGCGATAATATCTAGTTACAAGAACGAATGAAAAACTAGGAGCAACGAAAATCCGCCCGGCGAGCGACGACCTTGAGACGATCTATGTCCGCTTAGAAAAAGTCTTAAATCAGTTGC